CGAAAGATGCAGAGGGCAGTGCTCTCAAGCACGCTGAATATTGCCCGGACTTTTAAGGTGGCAGTTTGAGTTCCCGCTAGAAGGAGGACCGTAGACACAACGGAAAAGCTTTTTAGGATTAGTTAATGTACATTTATTTTTTACTCCATTGCTCACAGGTTATGGTTTTCGCCCTGTGCTGCCTGATTAGAATGTAGCATTCAGTTGATTTCTCTGCGATAATAATAATAATAATGGTGATAATAATAAAATAATAATGACTGTAACGATGATAAAGATAATTATAGAAATTATGTCGATGGTGTAAGCAATAGTCATAAAAGGAGAAAAAAAAACTAGGTCTTATACTCCTCTCCTCAGTTTGAGCCTAATATTTAAAAAAAAAAAGGTATTTTATTTTTCGTTTTTTTCAATAATAGGTTTCCCAACTTTTATTCTTTCCAAGTTTTCAATAACAATAAGTGACTGGTTTTGATTTCACACTCATTCTGCAATTCCGTCGGTGAAGATAAATTTAGGGAAAATCTATCGGAACCCTAATTTCCTACAAACGGACAAAATCAAGGAAAAGCCATAGGGTGCTGGATGAAATTCTGTAGAATGAGTCTGACGGACCTAGGAGATCTTCTGCGGCTCATAATACAATAAGTTGTAATTGCTTCAACGAAATGTCAGTAGGGAGTAAGTGGTTTTTGGGATTGTTAATTTTTGCGAACAAAGCATACAAATCCCCATGGTGTGAATCAATTTCACCGAAATGATTTAATCTCTGTTTGCACATAACCACTTGACTACTTCTTCTGACGAAGAAACATTGAAGAATCAGTTCACGCTAGATGATCTCATCGACCAAAAATGGCTTTGGCTTACATCTTTCTATCATATATCCATCTAATCTGGTTGTCTTTGAACAAGACTGCTTTAGGTTCTGCAGGTTGGACTATATTTCAGTTTCTGTACTTTCATTAGTTATGATATACAATGAGTGAAAAGCTGTAAATACTCTTCAGGAGCCTTGTAGAGTGTATAATCAATGCACCCTTTCTGAATCGTTTCGCAATATCAAAATTGAGATAGAGGTAAATTAAAATATATGTTTACTGTTAAGGTGAGAGGGGAGGGAAGGAAACCGAAAATTCAATCAGCGTTAAGAATATTTCCATAAGGCATGGTAAGAGTATTAAAAAGACAAGGTCTGACAATTCTTTGCTCTAAGTTGGAAAGAGTTTAATTCATAGCAAAATCTCTCGGCTTAGGATGTTGGCTATTTCTAAGTTACTGTCAATACCCGCTCTAAATATATTCGGGTTTAAACGAACTTACACATTCTCAGAAAACTAATTCTGTCAGTGTGCTACAATAAATAGCTTACAATTGTATGCAAGAAATCAAACTGTGATGGTAATGATTATTTGAGATCATAATTTTGAGAAAAAAAACATCACGTTTTCTTAATTAAAATCGACAAAACGTGATACAGGTACATACAAGTAGATAGTTAGAAGAACCACTCCTTTAATAGTTCAGTTTTCAATATATTTTCTTCTACAGGGCAATGTCGTAATTTGATATTTTCTCCAACCAGAAAGATTGATGGGAAACGTCTCTTAAATCATGTGATAAGTGTCACTGACGTCACTGACAAGAGATTTTGTCAAGTGCTCTGCTTTATGGAGGACAACTGTTTCAGTTGTAATATCATGAAGAGAAATGAGAAGGAGGAACGAAAATGCGAATTAAATAACGCTACGCATGAGGGAAATGAACACGATCTTGTAGAAGACATCGATTACTCTTACTGCACAGCAGAGGTATTACAAAGAAAAAGTTACTGACAGGATTCTTTCACTCTCTTATAGTTGCAAGAGAGTGTAAGTAGTAGGCAGGATTGACGATAACTATGTAAGACTTGGTTTTGGCTAAAGAATAGAAGTTAGGTTACGGCGGAAGGAATACCTGGGAGATCTTTTGGACAGAACTTACCGTGGGAATCTGTGAGAATGTACCCCTAGGGAATATCAAGTTAAACATTGACGATATTTTGGTGCGCTAAGACCTCTAACAGTTTTACGAGTTTAGTTTCATTTCACATAGTTCATTTTAAAAGTCTTATTCAGGATTCACGGCTGGTTTCCTGTTTATTCTCTTGTTTGTCTTTTTTTGGTCAGAATGCTTGCGCCAGTAACCCTTGCAGTCTCGAGGCTACTTGTCAAACTGGTTTCACGAATGTGGGTTATCGTTGCCTTTGTCCTGAGGGATTCACCGGCCAAAGTTGTGAAAGTGGTGATTATTGTAGCTTTTTTAAAATATAAACACATTTGCTCGTCTTGTTTGTTAGTTTTTAGACATCTCCTTGAAAATAAGTTTAAAATGTATTACTTTAAATTAAACTACTTATTTTTTTTTCATTTACTGTTTTTCTCATGCTAAAGGATTTAACTGTTTGAAGAATGCCTATTCCAACGGATGAATTGCAGAAGTCTTCTTTTTCAGATACTAATGAATGTTCTACTGGAACACATAGTTGCCACGCTGGTGCCGAATGTATCAACACAGTGGGTTCATATGAATGTATTTGTAAACCTGGATACCATGGAGACGGAAGGAACTGCACAGGTTAGTGTCTTTGCGATAGGGGAGAAAAATTATCTTACGAAAAGCCGGCATACAGTTAAAGTTAATCAAAAAGAAAAAGGGACCGGAGTCCTCTCGTAATATGCATAGCTGTTCGATTAGTTCTTTTATAGTTGAAGGAAAGGAGATCACTTCACACACACATATATATAGATATATATGTATGTATATATATATGTTTGCGGAGGAAAGAAACAAATAAACTACGCTTTCATCCCGACAAGCCTGTTTCGTGGTTGCCCACTCGTCAGGGGATTACTAAGAATATTCTTGACCATCGCTTCTTATATACAAAATAATTTACATAATAACAATAATAAACATATATCTAATCTATGCAGCGCAAAGTTTAACAGTTCAGCTGTTGCGTAGGAGTGCTTTATTTCTTGGGCGGCAAGAAGACACGAGTTCATTACGTTTGTTGAGTGTAGAAAGTTTTGGTAGGTAAATATTAGAAATTTTTCCTTTAGGCGGTGGTTGCATGAGCTCTGCTTTCATGTCCAAATCGAGCATTCTAGCAGGGATGAGCCATTGCTATTTGCACTGTGCATAGCTCACTAGGTTTCACCTAGTTTGAGCACACTGGCATGGCTAAACGGTACCACATGCGTGGGATCGTTTGAGGGAACCACATCGGTTCGCCTCCGTCCTCATTTTGAGCACTGCACTGATGAGGCCCAGAAGGCCGAGACAGTACTGTCTGCTGTTATATATATATATTATATGTATAATATAATGACGAGTTTGTAAGGGCACATGAATGCACTGTTGATTTACTTGGAAGACCTTGCCCGCCGTTTGGTCATTATAGGACAGTCTTTAACCTTTATCAAGAATTAAGGAAATAGTAATTTGGACAATACGCCTGGTTACGGAGGCAAAATGAATACGGCTTTTTGTCTTCACATTGCCCAATAAGATTTTGCACAGTTTTAATTACGCTGGTAAATACGTAAAGGATGGTTTTATCCTAATCTCATGCCTTTCTTTGTTGTGTATAGTGATATCAACATGCAAAGAAATTTTCGACATTTCCTTGTAAGTATTTTAGTTTATGTTGTCTTCGATGCAATATTTTGCAATGAGTTGCATGGTTCTAAATGCAAACTAGAGAGGTCTAGAAAATGGTTAATGAGATGACCAAGATCCTTTGGGTAAGGGAATACAATTAGGGAATGAAAATGAGATCACTCACAGCAAAAAAAATAAGTAAATACATAAAAAACCACAAAACAAACAAATAAAACTAAATCAAACGACAATATAATGATGGTCATTATTTCAATAATGAAAAGGTGATAAACTTATCAATAGCAAAATCGTAATGATAAAATTCAATATAATGAACGAAACACACACTAATGATAGTTCCCTTTTCAATTTTTGAATATCGATCAATACCTAAAGAAGCTAAGCTAAATTTATTTTAGGTACAGGGAGAACAAAGCTTATATAATACGCGTAGGGTCTGAGGACATTGCTGTTTACTGTGTGCTGAACAGTACAAGCTTAGGACCATGTGTAGGAGGGGGTTGGACGCTGGCCATGAAAATTGACGGGTCACAGGTCCTTATGATTATTCTTATCTTAATTTAACAGAATCTTGATACTGAAACATAAACTAAACGATATCAAATAAGGGGCAAAAATGAATTATCTTTAACATTGCAACTGCTAAATTCAGTTTTTGTTTAAAAGCTATCTTAAAGCCTAATTTCAGTACGCAAACAGAAACTATATTCACGTTAATGACAGCTAGTTCTATGCGAAATCCCCCGCGTCCGAAAAATAATTTGAACACACTTTTGATGTAGAATGGATGGGATGAGGGGCTTGTGGATTCTTTTCGTTAACATAAAGTTCATAAGCTATTTATTGTCTCCTAATTAAATCTTTGCTGTGATTCTTTCTGTTTTTTTTTTTCTTGCTTTGTTCTTCTGTTGTTTTCTTTTTTACATATAGTGCATAAACTGCGCGTTAGAAACTCTTGCTGTGGTTTTGCACGTTTTTTTTTCTTTCTCTGTTGTTGTTGTTGTTGTTTTTTTTAATCTGTTTATTTTAGTCTCACTTGCTCAAATTACCTTTGAGAAGTTAAAAGTGAATCGTAACAAATTCAGCACAAATGAAATAGAACAAATACAGCCAATAATACGATAAGGGCAACTAACCAACTGTCTAAATATTTCTGCAGCAAACATTCCATTATGATTCCTCTTTATGGAGCAACAAGATCGAATTCAATATCGTGGGAGGGGAGACAGGATTTGACGAATATGAGACGAAGTTACCAACCTATTGGAACACATCCTTCTCCAGGATTTGTCTCGGCATGAAGATCCCTGGTGAAGAAACTCCACATTTTGTTGCCTTAAACCAGTCCGCTGACTCACTCTACTCACTGATTGCTGATCAACAGTATCGCCAAACGTCATTAGGCCGTGGAACGTGGAAATCTCTGCTTGGACTCCAGGGCTCGTTGCAACACAATTGTAACAGGGAAGGTTTCAACGTAATAAGTGACCGTCCTGGTCACCCAAAAGCAAGAATTGGTATCATTGGCAACAACGAAAACGCATGTATAACTTGCGATTCGAGGATCGGTTTTGGTACAGCCGGATATCCTGATGATTCCAACACGTGTGGTATCGAGGCGAGAGTCGCACCCGACAATGGAGACAGAGATATCGAAACTATGGGATACATTTTGATTCAGTGAGCTGAATTAATATTTTTGTAATAGGGAGAAATGATCTTATACTTCGCTCTAATTCAAACGTCTCCATCTAAAGATTTTTCAACGATTTTGGCAGTGCGCTGACATAACATTAGATCTACAAAACCTATCGGGAAATATCAAAAGTTGCATAATTACGTACGAGGAGAGTCATATAAGATGACTGGTATTAGCGCTTCCTTCCTTAGACATTATTATTATTATTATCCGCACAGAAAGGAGTAATGAAATGTTATAAAAGAAGTCTGAAGAACTCTCGGACGAAAAGGGTAGCAAAGAAGCAAAAATCTTTGTAGAGAACTAGTGCAAAGATAGATTCTCGAGGAGACAAAAGCTGTTGATTTGAAGGATGGTATTTGGGTAATCAGGAAAGCACTGAGGCTTAAATGGTATGCTCTCACAGAGGATGGCGTTTTAGAGCTTGGTAAATTGTTGCAATGATATGAGTAATTTTAAACTGATGGGGTTTGATAAGATATCTCAGCTTCTATTCGTTCACTTCCTGTATTTAAACATTGTATAAATTATTACAGCAAAGTTCGGATAAAGTGCACGCTATCATTGGTAGAAAGAGCAAAACACGGAGCTGAGCTGAAGCTGTCACACTAAAATTATACAGTGTCAGACCATTTCCCGAACTTCTCTTTGCTTTTAGCCCGTTAATTAAAAGTGACATTCCGGAAAAAGCGAGTGAGCAAGTAGCAACAGAATAACCAAACAGAGGTTTGAAAACATGCAAAGCATGTACGTAATGTTATTATAACGTGAGCAGAGACTAAAATCTTCAAAGAGAAAATGGAATGGATTGTCGGAGTTTTGAAGGTTTTCACTCTCATTTAGATTGTAAGCTTAGATTGAAGCACTGCTAACTTCCCTATAAAATTATATAGTTTCGGGTAAAAATAGTAGAACGAAACAGGAATAATGAAAAATATAAGAAAACTGGCATAATTGTTAAAATTCAAACAAATTTATGATGGTTTCAGAGCGGCTGCGATCATGCTGTGGTCCATCGAGGCCAGCTCATCATGGAGATCGCCGGTCATCGATGATTGGAAGGCCACATCAGTCACCGCAGCCGAGTTTTACGTCGCTATCGTCCCGAGAAATAATTATCTTCCTGTGAATTCGGCTGTCGTTCATTTACCGGATTTTTAGATCAGATTTCACTGAACTTTAACTTTCAGATTCTGTATTAAATTAGAAACTTTCAAGCGAGTGTTAAATGCGACCTGCCGAACTTTTTAAATTTGTAGACTACTGCTGATTGTGAACTTTGATGGTTTGACATTTTTGACAGCTTTAGTCTGGTTCAGCCAATCAGATCATTTGAACTACTCTAACAAGCATTCTGACTGGCTTATTGTAACGTGCTTTATGAGATTATGAAGATGCTAACGACACTTGTTCGTTTTGGAAATAAAGTTTGCTTTGAAAATTAGAAGTATTGCGTGAGTAATTTGACGAATTCTTTATTATTAAACAAACAGATAGAGAAGCTTTGACTGTGCTCTGTTCTGTTGTAAAGCACTTAAAGGCCTACTCTGAGGCCTTAAGTCGCCGTAACTTTGGGCGACTTTGGCGATTCAGAAGGCGACTTAAGGCGACTTAAGCAAAATTAGCAGAAAAAACAATGCGACTTTAGGCGACTTAAGGCAACTTAAGGCGACTTAAAGTGATTTTATTTGACTGATTACAGAATCCCTTGCAATAAACACAATAGTCATTTGGGTTACTTTTGTATGCTCATAAGTCACCATAGTCTAAAATATCCAGATTTCAAACCAATTTACCTAAAATAATGAGACAGAATTACCACAATAGTTATTAGAGAGCTTTAGAATCGAGTGCGAGAACGAGTACGAGTACGAGTACGAGTTTTAACCGCGCGAGATCTGGCACTAGTATCTCGTACTCCTAGTCGTGCTGACGGAAAATGTAACTTTAGATTGTAAACAAATGTATCGATCCGAGTGCGAGGGTTTTACTGTAACAATCTCACCATGTTTAGCCAAAAAAACTATCCTAGAAGCATCCGTTTACCTCCTTAGAGATGAAGAGATTGACAAAGAAGATTTCCTGGCGATTTATGAAATCACAACGATGAGAAGGCAACATCCTTACAAGCAGTATGAAAGGATTGACGATGTTTTTGACGCCATTTCTCCTGAAGAGTTTGCAGCCGATCTCGCTTCTTATATACAAAANTTTTAATTTCAATACAGCTGAACTGACTTTGTAATAATAATACAGTACATTTCTATGATACAACTACATATACATTTGTAAAAAGATGTAAAAATAATGTATTCAGATACTTTACCATACAAACTCTTCCTTAGTTTTCATTTCTTAAATATAATGGTATTAATATGACAATAATTAATGAGAAGCTAATAAAATGTTTCAGTGTTCAAGGTTTTATCATAGTGTTCGGCGATTTTCGTCCAAGATATACCTCTCTCTTTTAAGTTTAAAATACAAAATACTCACCTTTCGAAACTCGTTCTCTGGAGGACGACATTCTGATCAAAATCTCGTTGTCGACGAGCGGCGGACGACGAGTTTCCCGCTCCCGTGACAGTCTCACGGAGAACTACGCATGCGCGATGCGAATACGCTAGTAAACTCGTACTCGTACTCGTTCTCGTACTCGAATCTAAAGCTCTCTAATGTTAAATCATACAGTCAAAGCTAGTGAATAAATAGCCAGGAAACCAATTTAGCTTAAAATGTTTAGACAGAATTACCACATCAGTTATTGTTAAATTATACAGTCAAAGCCAGGAATACATTATGGGTTATGTGCCCAATATCAAATAAACCTATTAAAAATATACACATAAAGACACACATTTTTAATTTTAGAAAAGAGACATGATTTACATAAAACTATCAATACATTTCCCACATAATTAATAAAAAATAACTTGATTATTAATTTTCACGAAGCCTCACAAATTATAAAAATTGTTACCTTGGTAAACTTGTCTCCCATATTTTTGCCACTTGCACTGTCAATTTTGGCATGGAAGTTTGGCAAGTCGCATTTCTTTCCAACAGCATCCGAAATTGCACAGTCCTTTTCAGGGACCCAACCAATTTGTTGTTCTCCTGCCTCAGTTAGACAAAACACTCTAATAGAGGTTTTGCACAACAGCCATGTTTGCATGACAGGAACAATCGATTATTTTTCCCAAGGGAAAACATTTTCTTTCTTATGCAAAATATTTTAATTGTTCCTGCCATGCAAAACCTTAATGCCATACTGAGAACCACGTGCTAAGGTCTTTCTCCACTGTTGATCGGATCAGCAGGACCTTCTAAGCATTCAAGTTTTTCTTTAGACTGGTCGCAGTATTACAGGATTAAAGGCATTCATTGTTACCTCACACCTGTCCAGAAACTAACGAGTCACAACGAAATTCTTCAAGCTGATAACTGGCTCTGTATGTCTCCGCCATTTTAATTCTCCCAGCAATCTATGCGCCGCTAACTGGTTTCAATGCTTCGAAGTTAAGAGCGGGACAACATTTTAGGGTTTCTCTCGCCAAGTACGCCCATACTATCTACTATTACAGAAAAATTTCCTTTACTTTACCTCGAATTTACCATTTCCTTCCGCAATGCAAGCAGGTAACCAGTCAGTAGACACAAGGCAGAATTTTTGGAATGGGTACGGATCGGAAAGAATGCAGGCCATAATGTTAATCTACTCCACTAGGGAAAAGCACGTGCGTGGTATTTTCATTGAAGCGGTCGCCCAGTTTAACTTTCAGAGTGAATTTTTTTAAAGCTCTTTGATGAATTTTTTTTTTGCACAGATAAATTACTCTGTATACTTTTCAGAAGGCTCGCGTGCGTGTTGTTCTCACGTGCACTTTGGTCACGGGACAAAACTTAAGTCACGTGATCAAATATTTCTGGCAGCCATGTTTGCTGTAAAAGGCTTTTCTTGGCTCAGAAGTGGTTCATGTGTGTTGATCATCAAACTGACGAAGAAGAAACGCCCCAAAAGACTATCAAAGTCTCAGGATAGATAAATATTTACGCCTTTAGTAAGTTCGGCGAGCTACAAAGTTGAAATGTTTTCAGTTGGTCGAATACTATGGTGGAAGTAGCTAGTACAGATCAATAGGTTTATACTGGAGAAATGGCCCACTTTTGTCATTCTTTTACCCTGGGTGAGAGGAAAAAATTTAGCTTCAGTTAAGTTTAGTTGACTTTTGATAATGTTATTTATACTGCTCAAGGTATAAGTGAGTGGCAAGAATTGAGCCTTTCTACAGAATACCTTTCTATCGTTTTATCTTGATGATCTGGTACTGTAGGTTTTATGTGATTCAATATTTATTATATCCTGATGATAATACACTGTGTCAACCCTTTTATCAACTTTTTCATCATTAAATACAAGACAGAAATTTTGTTGAAACAGATACCTGTGGAAAGAGTTCTATATAACCCCAACATTAATTATGCATTCATTTCTTAAAGACTAAATATAGAGGTTTCTTTGCAACACTCTATGCATAATTAATGTATGGAGTTATATGGAACTCTGGCCAATAGCTGTTTTAGTAAGATGATGGAAGTGTATACATTGTCATATTTCCTACATCAGGACTGTCTACATGTAGGGGTTACCCATGCCAGCATAGGGGCTAGACAGGTGCATGACTATTTTCACATGGGGTTTCTATATATATGGAAGTCATCGCCCACCTCTCAATAACAATAATTAAACTCATAGTCCATTGCAGGGTTACCTCCCCCCCTACCAACCAGTACCCATATTTACACCTGGAAAAAGTGAGGCACTTTGAGCTTACAGTATCTTGCCCAAGAACATAATAAAATGCTCCAACACTAGACACCAAAATTGGACAAATGTCGAGTCCAGTGCACTAACCATTCAGCCACCATGCCTCCTCCTCTGATCCTTATGATTAGACAGTAGTGAATGGGGTCAATTGGAATTAGGGTGGAACCCTTTTCCCGGTTAGCTCAGTTGGTTAGAGCACTGGATTGTAATGTGCGGGAGGTCGAGGGTTCAAGCCCCGGCCGGACCAATACTCATGGTCTTAAACACGAAGGCGCACTATATAAAGAAGTCTTCCCTGGGAAGACCTAGGCTCATTTGTTACTCACCCTTGACGTGTGCGGGTCAAATTTAAATGCTGGTAGACGAACAAAAGAAGCTTATGAGATACCTATTGTTTACTTCCACCAGCATGGTGGCATGAGGTGACGTGCAAACCACCTACTTCGATCTCAAATTTACCGCCACAAATAAAGACAGTTTCCATTGGAGAAATGAAATACAAATTTCAAAAATTCTTGTTTTGTGATGAAGACATAAAACAATTTTGAGGTATGCGCCCGCTGTTCACTGCTTTGGAGTAGCTGTAGCTCAAGCTGACTTGACTCTAAGAGTTCTACATCACACGACGGTTGATTAACAAATGGTCCAGTGGGATCCAAGGCTCCTTTTATAGCGCGCCTTCGTGTTTAAAATAACTGAGGAGAACTTACTACCTTTCTGTAGTATCAAGAAATGGATAGATATTTTAGTCTCCTCGGATAAGGACGAATAAACTGTAGGCCCCAACTCCTGCAGGGTTAGGGGTAGGAGATGTTAATTTCCCATGCACGAGATTACTGTGTGGTGGATGCCCTCCCCTGGGGTGGGATGGGTGGGTATTTGGGGGATGGGTGGGAAGGCGAGATTGTTACATGGACTGAAGCAGCTGCCAGAGGCGCCTGATATGCTGACGTCCTATTTCAGCTTTAACAACAATATCTAATAAACGCTATTGATCAGCACATGTAAATATGCGCTACATAAATTGGTAAATTATAAATTAAAATTATAAACCCTTATAACGTTGTGTAACCAATAGCGACTTAAGGCGACTTAAGGCGACTTAAGGCGACTGAAGGCGAATGAAGACGACTTTAGGCGACTTAAGGCGAGTTAAGGTCCCAGAGTAGGCCTAGTTTAGAACGGCTAGAGCACTCAAGAGATGCTCTAGCCGCTTCCTACGTGCTTTACAACGGAACAGAGTACAGTGAAATCTTCTCCATTTGTTAAACAAAGTAAAGACAGACGTCTTACCCCATGCAAGAGGTTTTCATTTAAGAGATATTATAAGTGGTGATTTTTGCATCAAAAATAAAGAGCAACTTTTATAATATAACGCAAAAGTATTTGCAGCATAAGTATTTACGGAAAGAACGATGAATGCGTGGAAACTCTGATTAAAAGTCTTCACCTCCCAGAGAGTTGAACTTACATAAGCACATTTAAAAAATCGAATAACACCCGTAGCTCTATACCTTTATTTTGACCGGCAGTGCCCTATCATTGGCACTAATGTTAGCCAAATTTAAGCCCACTTTAATCTTAACCGATAAAACATCAGGAACCCCCCCTTTTGTTTTAGTATCTAAAAGTTTGCCAAATTAATGCTATGATATCTGGATAACATGGCGTTAGAAAAATTTTTCCTCAGAATAAATTTGGATCACGCTGTAACTGCTCCCCCGCATCAGAGAACTTCAAATCATTTGGTGGCAAAGAAGCTGTATCTTCGTTGCCCACGGAAAAAAAAATTAACTTTAATAGCTAACACAATTACTGGTAACCCAGTAGTTTACATTGTGGGCTATAAACAAATCATTCAAATTGAACAGAACACTATTAAGAATCCCAACTGGCCGGAGGCAAACCAGTTGGCTATTTACAAGCATGGCCGAGGATTTGAACTCGGAGCCACCGTGAAACAAATTCAGGTAGTGGTCAGGGCGGGACTCAAACCCGGGAGCGACGGATTGCGAGTCCGACACGCTGACCACTCGGCCACGCTGCCTCCGCGAAAACAAAACAAAAAAACAAAACAAAACAAGTCCTAAGCTTCACAGGCTTTTAAAGTCTATAATGACAACCCCTCGCCCTCCGCCTACCCTTTACCCCGAAAAAAACAAAAACAAAAAAAATAACGAAAATCAATCGAATAAAGTATTCGGGAAAAGCTGCTGAAGCGTACAAACAGAAGACTCAGCTGTGATTCTCAAACGTTCGCTCCTAAAGATCGAGTTTGCAATCAGAAGAGATCATTGTATATTTCAAAACGCTCTTTGAGTTAGAAGAAAAATATTAAAAGCTCTCGACTGCCTGAATTGCAGTTTTAAAGAAGCAAACTCCTAACAGAGGGGCTAAAAACTCTAAAACAGCGTGATAATAATACAATAGAATTATATTATGGAAATACACTTAACGACTACATTGTATTGAACGTTGCTTTGTCCTCGAGGAAAAAACATGTTATTTTTTTCGACTTAGGTGTCGTGGTGTGAGCTAAAAGTTATTCGAACAAACGAAAATGCAGCGAATCTGGAGTTGCATGTTTTCTAGCCATGTCTAACATCCCTAGGATTTTTATACCATGCACCATTTTATCGCTGATTTGATCAGCTAATTCAAGAAATGTCCCTATTCGCGTAACGTGTTAATATTACGCAAGGGAAATGAGGAAACCAAATAAACTGGTTTAAGTTTTGATAGAGAACAAGAGTAGTACGTTGGAAACGGACACGTCTTGCAGCATCGATATGTCAGCCGTGTTTAAAAAAAAAAGGGTTTAGAACGTCGGTTACGGCGCCACACCGCAACTCTAGCATAACGCAGCCAAGCAGCGTTGCGTTTCAGATGGAAAACTTAAGTAATCTGCAGTCGGGGTTCCATTCTCTGACCACGAACATTTTGGCAATGCTGGTTTCACGTTGTTGTTTTTGCGGAGGATGGCAAAGACATTTACATTATTCAAAGCACTCGTGTTGAGCTATTGTTCTACCCATTATATCTTTTGTTTGCCCACGTACTACTTGTCATCGTGGTTTGCTAAGGTACCTATAGTCAAATGACGACAACAGAATGAAAATTTTTCAGATATTCCAGTATCACAATTATTTTAAACTCTATGCATGTATATTTATTTCAAACGGTCTTTGGATTAATCTGTGTTTAAGTCTGAAATTGTTTATATCTACTGACCTCTGTTCTCTTCTCGCGATTGGGAGTAAAAGCATTTGTACCAACAACAAGCCAACCAAATTTATTCGGTATTTCACCAAATTTAAAACTACATTAATTCTTAATGATTTTTTAAAGATTATAGGACTAAACAAACCTTGGGCTTTGGTTACACATCACTGTTTACTTAAGAAATAAAAGAAAAAGGAAAAAAAAAGATGTCGATCAAATAAATTTCAATTGTTTTTTTTTCGATACTGAATGCGCCAACTTACATTGGTCAACAATGTCAGAGGAAAGCTCCCCTACTTTGGGCCCACAATTAACCAAAAAGTTAATTAACCAGTGAAAGAAATATCCTACAAATTGAGCCTGAGCAATTTATTATCGCAATTGAAAGTTTAATCAATGTATTGTTTTCCAAGGTCAACAGAAAGAAAGAAGATAATGTGGTTGTCCTTCAACAAACTGACCATGTCTTTGGACTAAAGGTGATTACCAAGAATCCCTGCTGTAGTCTGGTTGAAAAGGAGAAGAAAGCAGTTAATTTTCAAGTCACTTGTTTAAGATTACATAACTTGGTTTGATCAAAGGAAAATCCTGGGGGAGACCTGTTTTGAAATTATTTCGTTTTCTTCCCTCCGTATCTGTCATGTCTACCAAGCGCTGTATTTGTTGTCTACATTTTTTGGTATTTCTTATTGCCAAAGGAATAGGCTCTACAGGTTAGTATTTGATTATTTTCAGTTTATTTAAGATGAGGTTAATAGAGCAACGCAACTCAACTTTTTATTTACTATAGCTGGGTGATGACTACTTAATAGAGTGAATATTACAGATCTTATAAACATCTAGAAATGCGAGGGAATGCAGTGAGAAAGTTAAAAAAGTGAGGGGCGATTTCTTACCAATCATGGTACTGGGGATTTTCTCGAGCGATCCCACGCAACTCTTCGGAGGATTCATGCAGAAGTTGCGTTTGGGAAGTTGCATTGATACTTTCCAACAATCATAGTTATTACGTTTTCTGAGAAAGGTTGATCCTCTGAATTATCCAGTTCGTTCAAATTGAATACTCTTGAAACGATCAGGAACTCCCCGCCATTATCATCGTCCTTTAAGCTTTATCTAAAATTCAGTTCGACATGTCAGTTGCCTAATTAACTTTTTTTCTCGGTCCAAATACAACCTTACGATCGGGGAGTGTTTCAAGTAACTAACGATTTATACTTTGGTGTATCTAATGATCTCACCCTTTTGCATTTAGCGTGTTTTTCAAACCATGGGAATTGTAAACTTAAGCGATTATCATCACAAATCTAGAACATATCTAGCCAGAAATCTCTTCTTTTTTTTTTTTTTTTTTTTTTTTTTTTCAGCATCATGTCGCAATTTGGAGTTCACAGGAACCAGAACGTTTAAAGGTAAACGCTTTACCAACCATGTCATGCGTATCGCCTACGTAAAGGGCCAAGAATTCTGCGAGGTGCTTTGCTTTTTGGACGATTACTGTTTCAGCTATAATTTCAAGACAAAAACTGAAGGTGGAAAGCAAAAATGCGAGTTAAATAATGCTACACATGAAGGGCACGAAAGAGAAGTGAAGGAAGACGTAGAGTATGAGTATTACGCAGTGGAGGTATGAGTCAAATTTGTAGTATCACGTCCTCGGTTGCTCCCGATGCCTCTCTAATTAAACGGAGAGAGAGATAGCTTTTACTAAAAGGAACATATTTGGATTTTATTAATCCTTAATAGGTTTCTTTTGAATTTTTCCCTTTTTTGTCATTATACTGCTGTCGATCATCATCTTTAGGACAGTTTCTACTTGAGTTTACGAAAAAAACAAAATAAATGCAATATCCAACAACAATCTTCGAAAGAGTGCATGTTGTCTCGAGAGGTCTGATACATTAATTGACAAACAATGATTCATGAGCATAATAAGGAGTCTTCATTAGGTAGCTTATGCAAATTTAAGATGTATTCTTGCTGCGAATATATTGATTAGTTCAATTTTTGACAGGGTCTTCAGAGGAAGCCATGGTTTGTTTTTGCTATTTTCCCTGTTAGTTTTGTTTTCGCTTGTTTTTATACTCTTTTATAGAACAGCTGTTCTAGTAACCCTTGCAGTAATAATGCTACTTGTCAAACCGGTTTTACGGAGAGAGGATATCGCTGTTTGTGTATCCCGGGATTCATTGGCATAAATTGTAAAACAGGTGAGATTGTAACCTATACCCTCAGCCAGCCTTGATCATTCTCAGAAACTGATACACGGAATACATATAATAGCCACTATAAATAAAAGCTAAACTTTTCCAAAAGAAAGTCTATTCCTTTATGATTGTTGCGGAATCGCCCTTTAGCTAGTACTGTTTGCATTCTCATATGCACGTTCATTGGATTATTTTTCACTTCCCGAACAAAATTGAGCGAAAACAGGCTTCTTGTGAAAAAATTAATTCGACCGGTCTCTCGTTCCTACAATTAAGGTGGCTGCCTCAGCAGATAGTAATGGAGAAGGATACGAGAAAAACGAGATAAGATGGCCCCCGTGTTACTTGCCAAAGAAACTTTTAGGTCAGAACTTACAGGACACAGTACCTAATTCGTTAATGAAACAAACTGTGACAATGTCGGACAGATCAGTCCGTTCATAAAGCAAACAGATCTTTACGATACATGCTTATTGTCGGTATTGTGGTATTATGAACTGAAGATAAATTTTAAATCAAGAAATACGATTTTGATGGTCAGTAGTATCCCAGTGATAATGTTAACTAGATCAAGAGTACATAATGCCCACGTGACAATAAGCATGTATAGATTGAATAGTCAAATATCTGTTTCAAATACATAATTACCTTGAGCATTTTGAATGCCAAGCAGCTAGCGAAACCTGTCTTGGGCAAAACACCTAGGAAACCCACTCTATATGATGTCCAGTAAAACACCTAGGAAACCCACTCTATATGATGTCCGGTAAAACACCTAGGAAACCCACTCTATATGATGTCCAGTAAAACACCTAGGAAACCCACTCTATATGATGTCCGGTAAAACACCTAGGAAACCCACTCTATATGATGTCCAGTAAAACACCTAGGAAACCCACTCTATATGATGTCCGGTAAAACACTTAGGAAACCCACTCTATATGATGTCTGNATAAAACATCTAGGAAACCCACTCTATATGAGTCCGGTAAAACACCTAGGAAACCCACTCAATATGATGTCCAGTAAAACACCGAGGAAACCCACTCTATATGATGTCCGGTAAAACACTTAGGAAACCCACTCTATATGATGTCCACTGTAAGAGGAATCTGAGTAAAAATGGAGGCTCGGCAAAATGTTTTCCTGCTTATTTAAGGTACCATTGTATTTCTTGTTCAGATGTGGACGAATGCTCTACTGGAGCACATAGTTGTGATGTTCATGCTGACTGCGAAAACATCGAAGGTTCTTATAAATGCAGTTGTAAACCTGGGTATCAAGGAGACGGTAAAATCTGCCGCAGCTTTGGCGGCCAAGGTTTGAGGCTTGGTTTGGTATGACGCTAAAACATAAGATTTAGCTATAATATGAATAACGGAAGAAGTCAAATAAGGAATGTTTTCTCAGCTTATTGTCTGTTTATTATTATTATTATCATTATTATTATTATTATTATTATTATTATTATTATTGATGTTTTTAGTTTGAAAATAAAAGCTGTATCCGAACTGGTGCGCTGCTCTGCCTTTAATTTGGATGACGATACACTGTCTGTAAAGCTAATAATATAAGAGATAAAGCCTCATCCTGTCTTTGAGAAGTTTGATGTTAGCCTTCAGGATTTCACTCTCGAAAAAACAATAAAATAAGACAAGTGACTCACCAGAGCCATATTAGCACATCACTGTCATGCATGGCAATAGTTACTCAAGCGACGAAAAAGGCTGTCATGATTTAACCTCAGGGCGCTATTACTCAAGTATGGTTAGGTTCCGGAAAAAAAAATAGCTACATTGCGGCTTTGCGTCCTTACAATGATTGAAAATTCTACATTTCTACATTGAGCCTGAGATGATCAACATCATGTCCTCTTTATTTCAGCAGCACTTTTTTCATCAGCAAAGGAGATTTACGCGCGGAACTTGTAAGTAACTTCTCAGAATTAAGCTTATTTCGAATCATCATTTAGACTGTTCACGGTTCTTTCTTTCGACCTGCTCTAAAATGTTACATTGCCAGGTTCTACCTCGTTGCGGAAAGTTTGGTCAAGATGACCCGTCTGGGTGTTCTTGGCCTCTTTCCTACATTGGATTTAACATTTGTTAACAGATCAAGATAAAGGTAGACATGTCTCCTTTAATTGAAAAATGCAATACTTACGCTGATACATACCATTTAATGATCTCAGTTCCAGAGAAAACAGAGCTTTCCTGTTAAACGTCGGGTCTGCACAGGTTAACGTATTCTGTGTCCTGAACGACATCAGCTTGGGATCATGTGGGGGAGGTGGCTGGACACTAGTGATGAAGATGAATGGATCAAAGGTTCCTATAATTTTTGCGCTGTTAAAATTAACAAGGCCCCCATTCTCGATAAACAAAAACAAACGATTTCTTCAGTGACTTTCTCAGAAAGTTTACTTAAGTTGTTTTTATTTCGTGTCATAGTTCACCGGTTTGTCACTGCCTTGTGAGCATGAAAGAGTGGTTAGGCTTTTTGCTCAAGAACTTGCTTAATTAAGCTGTCAAACTCTCCGTCAAGAATAATCAAGTGTCGTTTCGTCTTTCTTTGTTAGGCATAGGTTGACAACAGTAACCATTACACGAAATTATCACGCTCATAATCATTCCCGTCTTTCTAACGAATTTTCGCGTAAAATCCTCGAGAATTTTGCTCGGATCCTTGTGCACACTTTTTTCTTGCGCTGTTTCCCTTGTCCATTGATTGAAAAACTGTACAATGTTCTCGGAATGCACGTGGGCTTATTCGCATGATTGTGTGACTTATGCCAAGTACAGGGTGTACAGTGCAATAGTGATTAATCTCCTTAAGAAATTGGAATGAATCTTTCATTAAAACCTGTGTGAATTACCGACAGCCCTAAAATTTAACCATCAGCTGTGAAAGATCCTACAAATCGTTAAAGCTTTACCCCCATCCCCCCCTCCCTCCCGCCATTGAGACCTTCTAATCACTAACTTGTAAACCTTCTTTTGGAGCGAGATATATACTTGCGAAGTGCATTATTGATCCCATTCTTCAAGTACAATTGATATGTTTGCGTTTTTGATAACTTTTCTGTTATCCATTTTCTCACCTTAAAGCAAACGTTTCACTATAATTCTGCTCTCTGGAAAAATAAAGATCCATACAATCTCGCTGGAGGGGAGACAGGGTTTGACATAGAAGAGACCAAGTTACCCACGTATTGGAACACACCTTTCTCCAAGATCTGTCTCGGTATGAAGATCCCTGGCGAAGACACTGTACGGTTCATTGCTGTAAACCATTCGGCCGACTCTCTACACTCGCTTATCGTCGATGATCAGTATCGACCCACCTCGTTAGGCCGTGAAGCATGGAAATCGCTGTTAGGTTCACAAGCCTCTTTGCAACATAACTGCAACAAGGAAGGGTTCAATGCATTATCGGTAGTTAACAAATTTACGTCCAAAGCAAGAATCGGTATCATTGCCAACAACGAAAATGACTGTGACGACCCTGATTCCCGAATTGGGTTTGGCACAGGTGGACATCCTGACCACTTTAATACGTGTGGCGATGAAGCAAGACTTTCAGACAATGGAAAGAAAACTATTAAAACATTTGGATACATTTTCGTTCAGTGAGAACCCGTCTCAAGACTTCAGCGGAGCTGTTATGGTCACCTCAGTCATATCTTGAGAGTGTCTATAAAGTGTTGCTTTGTCTTTGAAAGGTTATCATGGCATGACAAAAAACGCCACACATAGTAATAATAAAAACAAAGACAAAACGAGAAAAAAAAATCGAATAAAACCTACAGTAAACACAGCGAAACTATGACACCATGAATATGTAAAAACCATGTGTGTAAACTGCGGTTTAAGAAATGAATATGGAACCGACTTTCACAGTTATAAATACTTCCTAAACAGCAGAGAAAAGAAGGCCCGAAAAAACTTCAGGCACGGGATTTGAACTCATGACCTCTGCGATTCCGGTGCAGTACTCTTAACCCTGAGTCAACTGGTCTTTCATTCGGTTCGTAGTAAACCCCATGAGGTGATGAATCGACGAGTGAGAATAAATGAAATCATACATATGAACTGCGGTTTAAGAAATGAAAATGGAACAGGTCGTCGCAGCACATACATTTTATTTTCAGTTTTATTGTCGATCTGAACGTTTTCTCGAATAAAATTCAACACTTTCATTTTTTATTTTGATATTAGATTATGAGAACTACTGATAAACTTCTTTGTATTATTTGAGACTTTTTCCACTAATAGACTTTGCAACTGTAAAATGTTTTACTTTAAAAAACCTAACGAAAGAAATCAAGACACACATTGCTGATTCTTCATCAAAAGTTTGGAAAAACTTCTCCAGATCAGAGCGGAATGCTCTGCAGCGCTGCGACGATGAGGTACTTAAAAAAGTAAATTAACAATCCTTTGCATCCTCATCCTCCAGGTTGCTTTAGCCCGTAGATTCTCGCTTGCAGATTGCAGAATCTGTATCTCTTTCAGTAAAAATCAGATTTGCAACTAGAATGTGAGCTGTGTCAGTTTCTGAACACCTTCGTGCAGAGTGTATGAATAGTTGTGATTGGTTATGATTCAGGTGCGTTAGTACCGTAGTACTTATGTTTATTCACAACTAATTTAACTTGACGGACGTCGAAAACTCGTACATTGACCGCACGGCCTCGGTCAATGAATATAAGCGAAAGTGAAAGTAAAAGTGAAAGGTTTTCTGAAATTACAAACGAAAGAAGGCATTAAACCCTAAATACCTACCTGAACAACAAAAAACCAAATATTAACTTACCGAACCGTTCGCCTTAGCCAAAGAAAGACACAATAACTCTTTTTAAACTCTCTTTAATATAACAACAACAACAAAAAAAACATTTGCTAACCCGAGCACATGGCGATTCAAGCTAAAAGTCATGTGACCAGCAAAACCTCCCAAGGAAGTCGGGAGTGACAAGGCGCGACAAATTGGGGCAACCTACCCTTGCACATACCTCTGTTCTTGATTGACATATCCGCAAGAGTAGATAAGAATTTGACTGAATACCCCCACAAAAGATTTCTTTATCCATGAATAATGTGTCTATATGATTTTTAAAGGAACCTTTGATCACTTAAGATTGCAACACTATTTTCGTTTTTGCTCAGTGGTAGGGTATCTTGGCTTTCGTTCTGTATCTTGATCTGTCACCATTGTGAAGGAAACGAACTATTCGAGATTTCGTTGATTTTCTTCGCTGTTTGGGTTGCAATGTTTTAATGAAAGAGTGATGCTTTCTACGCTGTTTGGGTGGCGATATTTTAATGAAATAGTCGTGCTTTCTACTTCTTTAAACCTATTGAGTATAATTTTACCCTCGTTGTTAGAGTTTTTTCTTATTTTAAAGGATAACCTGTATTTGATGCAAGGGCCTAGGAGGTCCTTTCAGGTGTTTGAAAGTAACCTGCCATTAATAGGAGCCCTGAGATAAAAAGTTCTAATAAAATCAATGCCACAAAAGAATTGCATAAAATCAACGTTTACATGATATAAGATGAAAATTTCATACATAGATTTAATGTTTACATAATGTATCATCATCTAGAAAAATTCTTAAAACTAATACATCCCTGGTGATCAAAAATACTTCTTTGCGATTTCCGCTTTGAGAGCAGGCGAATGAAGCAGATCGTGTTGTCTGGTTACGCGCGTGAGAATCTTGCTGTTAAAATTAAAATAATATTTTAGATATTGAGAGAAACACTCTAAAATACATTTCTTTACAAGCCAAAAAGTATGTTCCTGGCGTCTTTCTCTCGTTACAGGCCACTTGAGAATGTCCGAATGTGCGGATTGTTCTAGCAACAGTTTCACCTGCCCTCTTCTGCAAAGCCTAGGCCTCTAACATCTCGGTTAGCACAAAGGATAGAGCGCTGGACTGTTGTTACGTCTACATTTTAACTTATTATCGAATCTTAAATTTTAATAAACCAAATATTTTTCAATGCCAAAACTCTTACAAGTTATGTCTGGAAAAGATTCCATTGATTACGAAGCCCTGTTGCATAGCTTGACAGAAAGGAAACATAAAAGAAAGAAATTTCCAAGTCATTTGTTATCTGTTATGTTTGTTTCACAAAGGGAAAAGCCTGTCTGAGACTTATGTTAAAATTAGGTTCCTCGTGCCCTATAAATGTGTTACGTCTATTCCGGAGCGTGGAATATGTTTGCTACCACTTTGGTTAACGTGACCTTTGATACCCAGAACAAATTTCTCTACAGGTTTAAATTCACTATTTCGTGCTGATGTCTCAAAATGTAAGATATGCAAAATCAACGATAACAACTCAGCTTATTAATTAACAGAAGGAAGCTCTGTTGTAGCTAGTTAGTAATTTTGTTACAGACATTTATAATCGTTAAGATTTTGATGAAATTCAGTGAGTATTTTGATGGCCAAAACTTTATTAGCATCAGTCCAGACACTGTCCCAAATGATATCGTACGACAAAGTTGAGGAAACTTGTCTAATCAAACTCGTGACAACAATGATGACGATCAGTTTGGTAGATGTGTTCAGCAAAAACTGTTGGAAAAATGTAGAACAGATCAGACTAAATTAAGAGGAAAAGATTTCATGTCTGCATGACCCATGCATTGTAGGAAGAGGACTTTACTATTCATGCATTGTAGGAAGAGGACTTTACTATTCATGCATTGTAGGAAGAGGACTTTACTATTCATGCATTGCAGGAAGAGGACTTTACTATTCATGCATTGTAGGAAGAGGACTTTACTATTCATGCATTG